ACTATTATAATACTAAGGTTATTATTAATATTATCGTCGTAATTAACACTAATCGTTACTAAAACTGACAGCAATTGTTGCTTCTGTATAAAACTAAATCAAATTTGTGTAAAAAATAAAGTTACAACGTAAAAACATTAATAGAAACTATTAAAATAATGAGTTGTTTTGCTAATAATCACGCTTCACTACCCTTTACTTTTAGTAAAAGTTTTACTAGTTTTAGTTTCAGCCTTAACTGTTAAACTCAGTTAAACTTAAAAGATCTTATTCTTAACTTAGGTTTTTATCTTTACTAAAGTTTGTTAAGTTCAAAAATTACGCAAATTTACTTGCTTCTTCGTTGAAAAACTATTTCTCCAATAAAGTATAAATTAATTTTTTTTTGTACTCACAGTATTCAATTTAATAACACTTTGGTTACACTTCAATTGTTACTGTCAATGACACACTGTCATTACATGTAACACATGCTCTTCGTTCACAGCTACGAAAAAAAATTCCAATCACTCTTTTCCACGACTTATCATTGGTACTGTCCTCTCGTGACGAAATATATTTGATTACTATATATTGAAAAAACAATCATCCCCACTATTATTTATACTAGCAGAAACGCCTTCCTACGAGCGGCTATTGGAGCTAGTAAATACTAATCGTAGTATTCATACCTTATTGAAAAAGATTTAGGAAAAGTGAACATTTTCTAAAAAAAGGATTTTTTTCTTCTGAGAAGTACTGCATGGGAAAAAGTGTTCGAATTGATTGTGCTCTTTAGTCATACGCAACTCACTGTATAAAAATGAGTCAATGTACTCGACATTTTTATAAATTTTACTGATATAAATTTAATGTTTTTATATATATTAAAAGTGATACCGTTTATTGAAAACATAATAGTTTTTAAGAACTCCATTTTCTAAATACTACATTTTAAATTATATTAATAAAGATACAATCAAACCCTCTCTGGAATGGACAAAGTTGAAAGTTTTCACATATTTCCACACTATGTATAGATTAAAAAAGAAGAAAAAAGCTACATAGTTTGTAGCTATGTTTGCCATGTAAAAGTTGTATATATATATATAATATAACTCAGACAACATTGGTTTGTTTTTCTTAAGTACACAGCTATACAACGTGCTATCTGTGTTCTGCCCACCACTGGTAACGAAACCCAAGTTTTAGCGTTGTAAACCTTAGTTTCTAGATGGAAACAAGTTTGAATAAGTTGATTACATTAATTGTTAAAAAAAGTGTAAAAAATAATAAAGCACTTGGGCTAGACAATATTCATCCAAGGGTTTTGAACGAGGTTAAGACACAGCATAGAGCCTAATGTTGCTTTGCTCCAAAACAAACAAACTTTTTCAAGGTGTAATGGTTGATCAGTCTCTTAAGCCACCCAAGCAGTGCACTGTTGCTAGTGGTAGGGCAAATGGTATTTTAAGTTGTACCTGCAGAAATATGAATACATGTCTGAATATGTTAGAATTTCATTGTTCAGGTCACTGGTTAGGCCACATTTGGAGTAATGTGTCTCCTTACCTTAAGAAGGACATTGAATTGTGGGAAAGGACTTAGATAAGGGTTACTAGAATGGTGCCTGGGATGGAGTGTTTGTCATACGAAGAAATTGTTTTCTCTCGGAAAAAGATTTAGAGGGGATCTGATTGAGGAGTTTAATATTGTTAAAGGAATTGATAGTGTTGATGCGAGGCATCATGTTTTTTTTATACTTAATGGCGAGAACAGTAGGGCGAGAGGACACAAATATACATTTTAGTAAGTTAGAAGTCTTCAGCTAAGACAGTTTAATTTTTCTAACAGGGTGGTTAGGTTTTGGAATTGGTTGCATTCGGATGTTGTGGAGGCAATAAATTAAACTGAGTTTAAACGAAAGTTTAATAACTATACGACTGATATGGGCTGGCTCTAAGTTGTTTTTTTTAAGTTATTTGTTTAATAATTTTAGTTTAGTTTAGAGGACTTAGAGGTTTAGAGAATGGGACTGACAGGTCCCTTGATGGCTCTATAAACATTATGTTATGTTATGATATAAATTATCTCAGTAATTACATGTCTTTTAATCTTACATCAATAGCAGGAAACATTTTTGGAAGTCTGATAAAAGATGCTTTGCTAAGTCATTTAATAGAAATTTAGAATTGTATTGGACATTTTATTTTGACATTATTTCAAAAGGTTACTGCTTATGTAGATGAGGGTAAGTGTGTACATTTGTTGAATTTAGATTTTCAGAAAGCATTTGACAAGGTGCTGCATAAAAGTCTTGTACAAAAATTAGTTCTATAGGTTAGCTAATTAGATAGAATAGTGGCTGGATGGAAGAAAACAGACGGTTGTTATATGTGATTAATGTCACAAGTGTAGTACCTCAGGGATCAGTGTTAGGACATTGTTAGGAATGGTCAGTAAATCACTTAAATTTGCTTCTGATATTAAGGTTTTGAGTGTTGCTGGCTATGAGGAGGATTCTGTTGCTTTACAGAAGGATTTAGATCTTTTAATGAGTTGGGTGAATAAATAGCAGATGGGTATCAATTATAATATATGCAAGGAATTGCATGAGATTTCACACTTTGAATTATAAGTATAATTTGGATGGGAATAATATTAACAGTGTTATGAAACAAAAGGATCTTGGTGTAATGTTTGATTAGTCTCTTAAGCCATCCAAGCAGTGTGTTGTTGCTAGTGGCAGGACAAGTAAGACTATAGGTTTTATATACAGAAATATCGAAAAGAGGTTATAATTTCATTGTATAGGTCATTGATTAGGTCATTTGGAATACTGTGTTACGTTTTGGGCTCCTTACTTCAAAGAGGACATTGAAATATTGGAAAGAGTTCAGAGAAGGCTACTATAATGATACATGAGATAGAAAGGTTATCATATAACGATAGATTAATATCTTTTAGGGTGTATTTTCTTGAAAAAGAAGGCTTAGATAGGGTATGATTGGATTATTTAATATTGTTATGTGAATTGATAATGTTGATACATCATCTATGTTTCATATTTAATGGGAAAAATGGCAAATCACTATATATATTTTACCAAGGAATAAGTTATCTTCAGCTGAGGTGTCCTTTAAGGGTTTAGTTTAATGTATTGGATAGGACAGTCTGGATGGGCCAAGAGATTCATTGCTGTCCTTTAATGTTATGTTATGACTTATAACTAAACCACTGAAGTGACAGCAACAGACCATTTGGTCCTTCATGGCTTTTCTTGTGCATCTCCCTTGAGAAAATAAAACTTTAAACAAATGTTTTATATCTCAGAAAATAATCAATGGTAGACCACAACTAGTTCCATAAGCCATTCACTCTTTTTTTATTTGGAGCCTAACCTATTTCTATCAAATCTTAATCTTATGTTTATTTTGAAATTCGCCCAAATTTACTCGGGGACTATCCGTGCTAGCCATTTCTTATTTAGAAGTGATATACTAGAGTCAACGCCACTCACTGCCAACTCTTGAGCTACTCTTTATCAATGAATGGTGATATTTACTATTACATTATAACCCCTCCACGGTTGAAAAGGCGAGATTGTTCGATGATGGGATTCGAAACCACAACCCATAGATTGTGATTCAAGCGCCCAAACCACTAGACCATTCCAGGCCCGCGTTTAAAACTGCTTTCTCGACCTATTGTCTTCAGTTCACAGCATCACCAATAAGTCAATGTCATATTTTTATTAAGTAGACTACAACTTTACACATTTAATTGCGCTAATAACCAGCGTAACATGTAAAATTATAACTGTGCTTTGTAGAAGCGTCCAACATTTCAACGCTAATCTGAAACTCATAGCTGTCAGGGTAGAAGGATCTCCATTTTATTTTAAATTCTTCGTGAACGTAGGTTTTCCTTTCTGCAGGACCTAACTCAATGACAGTTTCTAAAATTTGTAAAGCAATTGTCTTTCACTTTCCCCAGTCTTTCTGAAGTCCTTTCTTAAATAAAACTGGTTTATTCTTTCTGAATACAACTTTGCAATACACTTAATTTTCACAGTCACGCTATAACAAACGCTATAATTCACAACGAACGCCTCACGTGCTCGACTTAACAATATGTCTCTCTCTCTGTCCGCAGTTCAATTACACATTCATTACATTGTTGCCGTCACGTCTTGACCGTCTTATATATAAAAGAATACCGAAGTCTAGTAACCTCCCGAGGATTCACGAAGCTTCGAGAATATTACGTGTTACTACGTCACGTGACCTCCGCTGTCGTAACAATATTAATGGTCATTGCACTATTTGTGTTATCAATTTCATGAACAAATGTTATGGTGTGAACTACGGTAAGTGAATTGATTTTATTATTATCAGTTTTATTTAAGTCATTTATACATAAGAATTAGGGTAAGTATTAACAACAAGATATTATTTATTTATTTACTTTTAACACCAGATATTCAGTATTATTATTTGTTTATTATTATTATTGTATTGTTCTGCATGTTCATTCTTGTGCTGCATTTTGTGAGTTGCGTTTTAAATGTGAAATATTGGAGAATTATTTAAGGTTTATTTTGTTCTATAAAGACTTGATTTTTATTGACATAAGGTATTGTTATTTTTTATTTTACGTTTTGTATTTTAAAATTTGGACACTGTTTAATATTTAAGGGTATTTTATCGCACTTTAATGTAGTTTTAACTTGTACTTAACATTATATGTGATTTTATATTGTAATTTTTATTCATTTTCTTTGTTAATGGGTTTTGCTTGCGAGTCTTATGTGTCATGTTACACCAGGCTCAAAAAATTCCATTACTGGAATACAGCTGATCCATTGTTCTTGTGTGTTTTATTGGATTTAAGATGTAATGTTGAAAACGGGACAAAATGTCCTGAAAACAAGAGTAGGAAGGATGTAGCTGTTGGAAATGTACCCTATTTTTCGTTATGTCATAGCCTAGAATGGTAAACTGCCCAGTTTATCGAAAATTTCAAAAGTTTCCAGTTATAACTTCTTACAGACTTTCAACATAGGAATCTATTTGTGAAGTAGGGACCTTATTTCATTTGTTAGTTACACATGATCAAATAGTGTGACCTACTTGGATATTTCTGGGCTTTCACGTGGATGATATTGTTGGAGAATTGGTTTTGTTTTTCCATCTATTTTTCTCTAACAACATCAGTGTGTGTTTAAGTTGAGAAATGTCTAGAGGCTATATCCTCATTCATTTTATGTATGAAATTAGGAATGCAAAGGGTAGTACATGCCCTCTGAGTGGAATAACGTTATTGTTTATTATACATATAAAATATATGCCCTTGGTCTTCATCCAAAATTTATTCTGGCATGATCTCTCAACAGTAACAGAGAAGCACTGTTCATCACTTTTGTACACCTTTTTTTGATATGTATTGCATGTAAATAAATATGAATTTACATTTTGTTTCATTTGTTTTTAAATTCGGCCAAGTTAATTTCATTTTTTAATTCATGATTCATATATTGTCCATTCATCCTGATTTTGCAGTGCTACTCTTAAATATGTGATATGCTTGTATATAATGGGTTTTCTACCTTCTGTAATAACATAGAACTATTCCAAAATATTGATTATCTAGTTTCTGCCCTCCTACCAAGTTCAGAGTTGCTAGCATTATCTTGTTCTAGATTGAATCTAGGCTAGGCTGAACAAGTTCGCACTGAAATATTTTTGTTAGCAGGTTGTGACATTCGCTGAAGCTGACAGCTAACCATTGCTGTCAGGATGTGACGCTGTTCACTGAACAAAGAATGCAAGTTAACATTCTGAATCCAGGCATGCTTTCTTTGTTCAATTCTACTTGGTTTTCATCGTGACTAGTTCAGCAGAGATTCGTCTTTAGAGACAGAGAGCTGACGAGCTATTCACTAATCCAGTAGCGCCTTTCATCTACTTGTCTATGCAGGCACACACACTGTTTTTTATGCTGTGTTTAAATAAAGATTGTTTTCATTGCCATTTAGATTAAATGTATCCACTTTGTTTATTTCTCACTCAAATTAAAAGTTTGCCAAATTATTAGCTACAGAACACTTCCCTTATCTATTGATTGAATATGCTATTACTTGAGAGCTTGTCTGTATCTTACTTTTCGGGAAATTGGTTTTAGCTGAAAATATCACAAGTAAATAGGAAGAGGAAATTTCGGTGCCCTGCCATAAGGATTTCTTCTGGAGTTTCTGAAACGATAATGTTAGTAGTAACCCTTGCTTGATCTCTTGAGTTTATTCTGGACACAGAAGTATACACCACGACCAAGAAAGAGAGTTTAGAGAAGTGTGGACAACTGAGAGTCATCGACGTGGAATTTAGTGCCTATTGAGTTTGAAATCACATGAAAAAGTCTTCACAGGATTTCCAGTCCGCCGTTTTGCTTTTGTGTGAGTGAAAGTGTCTTACTTTAATGTTTGGATTGTATTGATTTGGTTTATAAAATATTATATCAACGTGTATATTATGACGATTTTCCATTCTTTTTTGCTTGGCATTGCCTCGTAGATAGGTCACTCGACTCGCAATCTGCGGGCCGCAGATTCCAATCACGTCGTTGAGAATACCTGTTCTTTCAGCCTTTGAGGCATTATAACGTGAAGGTCAATCCTTTTTATTGTAATCACATAAATTCGAGTAAAAGTTAAGTAGCTGTTTGTTTAATCAAGGCTTCATTTGAATGATTAGAAGCGTCTCCTTCACCCGTGGCATAATGCCGTTTTCAGCTTTACCGATCACTTTAAAAATACTGGGGGTTGGGACTACATCACATTCATTTAGATCATGCCGAACAACGCTTGAGGCTTAAACCTAGGATTAAAGTGTTCCTTAAAGTAAACGATATCCTAGTCTTCTAACAGTCGATCCGACGTAAGCGTCCTCAAATGTTGGGCAGCAGAAGCCATAAATATCATGTGACTCTTGAGAAAACTGGACATGATCTTTAAACTTGGAAACTTATCATTTCTCAATAACTGTCGGAATATAAAATGAAGGTGAACTTGTAGGTAGACTCAAATTCGATGACGAGGAACCCACTTTGAGACTAATAATGGCTGGAGACGGCTTAAATGGGTAATGAAGAAAAACTTTAATATAAGTTTAACATGACAGCAAATGTACAACGTTTCGACAAGGTTTTGTCATCATCAGGTACCCATCATCCAAACCTTGTCGAAACGTTGTACATTTGCTGTCATGTTAAACTTATATTACAGTTTTTCTTCATTACCCATTTAAGCCGTCTCCAGCCATTATTTGTAGATAGACTGTTGATTATGGTATATAGTTTCATCTTCCAGATTCGTGAGTGTGAGTCAGTGTATGATGGAAAGATCATTGCTTGTAGCTTCGGGATCTCATAGTTCAGTCACCTTGCGTGTTAGCGGGTTTCG